TTTTTTTTTTAATTACAAGATTTTTGGATTTTCAATATCCAAATTTAACAAAAATCATGATCCGGTGGGAAAATGACATTTTTGGACTATGAAAATTCAAATTTTAATTTAAAAGTAAATTTTGGATTGAAATCTGAATATGTTTAGGAATGCTAAAAGCCTAAAATGCAATCTTTGGATTTTGAAAATCCAAAATTGATTTCTAAATTGTTGGACACTAAAAAGAATTTTTGGATTTTTAAAATCTGCAATTTCAATTTCAAATAAATTTTGGATTTTCAAGATAAAAAATTGTTGGGACACCTTTTTGGTTAACTATAATTGTTGGGATATTTTTATTGATTTTGCATTTTTTGTATTTTAAAATCCAAAAAAATAACTCTGAAGTTAATTGTTTAGATTTTTAAAATCTAAAATTGTTGAGACATTTTTTTGGTTAAATAAAATTGTTAGGAGGGTAATTTTTTTTTGCAATTTTTTTTTTTAAAAATCTTGATATTAAATTTTCATATCAATTTTGGAGATTTTTGAATTGTTAGGGGACGCTATATCAAGAAAGGAAGAATGACCACACATAAATGATTATAAATCATGTTTTCTTGGTCTTAATTTTTTAATTTTGTTATTTTTTTACATTTGTAGGTACTTTTGTTTCTTTTTCCAATTTTATTTTGTGTCTTTTAATTCAAATATTGTTGTATTTACAAGTTAAAGCAGAAGAATAACCAAAATTTTCTTACACGATCTCAACAGTATCCTATTTTACATTATGTGAGGTTGGTGGAATTTACAGACACCTTTGTTTACTTAAATTAAGTAACTCCTTTGAAAAAATCCATCCACATACTAATTAGCGAGCTTATAATTTCTTTTTGTTTAAAAAAGATTAGACTCATTCAATTGGTACTCTTTCAATATTTGTACGTATTTTCTCATTGTAAAGTAAGGCATTTACTTACAAACACCAACGTTTCATGGATTTCACTTTAAACTTGAATTTTTAATTTTTTTTGAAACTTTTTGATATTAAGTTATTATTCACTTTTCAAGTCTTTTTTAAGGGTTTCTGGAATTTTTTTTAATTAGGATTTTCAATTTGTTCTCTGAACTTCACTTTATATATTATTTTTATTTTTTTGTTAATATCTACACCCACCAATGTTAAACATTTTAATTGTCCAACGATTTTAATTACAATCACATATATATGTCTATTTAGTTCATAGTTATACTTTAAATTTTTTGTAATTATTTGGCTATATTTATAGTAAAGATTGAATTACTTGATTTGTTATAGAGGCTTTTTTAAATAGATATACTCAATATCTTTGCCATTCCATTAAATTTGCATCGTTCATTCTATTGGTGCTTATGTGTGTAATGCTAATAATACCCGTTTATTAATGATCGTCAATGAAAAATCAAGTGCTAACAATGATTGTTGGTTACCAATTATGAGACTACTATAAGTAAATTAGTAATCAACCTAATACTGATGATAATATAAATTTTTAAATTAAAAAATTTAATGTTATTCTAGGTGTACAAAATAATATCTCTTTACCAATATTATATTATCTTCAATAAAAAATTCATTATGAAAATAAAGGTTTTTCCTAATCTAAGCATATTAAAAATTTAAAATAAATATTATATTTTATTACTTTGTATAAATCTGAATTTAAGAATTGTGTTATTTTTTAGAAAATGAATTAATTCTTCATTTCGTAATTTTAATTTTAAAAAATAAGCCATTAAGGTTTTATTAATTTTTTGCTTTTTAAAATCTATAATTAAGGGACCATTTATTCCTAAAACTACCATAGTTCTTACTTTTAGATTTTTATTTTTGAATGAAATTCCAATGGTGAAGATTGGTTGCTTGAATTTTTTAATAGAATTCCAATGGCGAAGATGTCTTTGTACGGTAGAGCTTGATTTTGTAAAAAAAATATTACTCCTCCTGGAAACTATTGTAAACCACCCAAATGCTGATGATTTATCTGAATCTGAAAAGCTGTGGCCTGAAAGACACCATCTAGGTTTGTAAACGAACCACCCGAATTCTCATGTTTATCATCCGAAGATACTATTTCATGAAAACCCATCTTTTACTCAAGGATAAAAATTTGGACCTTGTCAAATGTTAGTGCCCTCTTCGAAAAATTATATTACAAAAAAATAGAACTTTTTAAAATTAAGAAATACATAAGCTTACCTCTAAAATATAATCCTACCTCTAAAATTTACACATACCAAGTAATAATGGATTATGACACACGATAAGCCACCGATAAAAAAAAATCCTCAAAAATTACAACAATCACTTCCCCTTTATATTATCTGTACGGTTATAATTGACCCATTGACCTTTTTCTTAGAATAATTTTTCATATTCAAATTCTAATTTTGTTGGAATCTTGCTCAAAATTATTAATAAATAAAATTTATAAAAAAATTAATTCAAACTTTTTTAATTTTTAAATATTGTGTGATTATCTAAATTAAAATTATTAAATGTAGCTTCTTTTAAATTGAGAATAGATTGAAAATATGATATTTGTTTTAATTCTCATTGCATATCTATGTAATCTCTCATTGCAATAAGATGTTATTAGTTGAGTGAAGACCTATTGCATATCAAAATACTATTTCATTGCATGTACTCTATGGCAAATATACCAAAATATTTATGCCATTTCCTATTTAATTTCTACCTGCAACGCAGGTAAACCCACGTAAACCCACTAGTAGTAGATAATATATCTGTCAAGGGGCATTTATAATTACGTTTCCAAATGGATGCACTTCGTAAAGATTACTATATATTTGGAGAGTAAGTTACAACTGAAGTTGATGGCGTGGCTGTTAGACCTTTTGCTCCCTCTAATGACTTGCAGTGTTTTGTAATACAAAATAGGTTTATTGCATATCTACTATTTAGACACACTTCATAAATGTGTCGGTATTCTGTATCAGGGAAGTTATCATCAGACTTTGAAGACCACGTGTCAGTCTTGTGTCTGAGCGTTCAACCCTTCTAAGTATTGATACATGTCAAGACACGAGAAAAAATGGAACCACCTGTGTAACACTGATTTAGGTGTCCATGCATGCAGCATATGAATTTCTTCTCTCTACTGATCTCTCTATTTTTTGCCTGGTCTACTTTTTTATTTGACCTTTTTTTCAAATTTTTTAAGCCCAAAATCTTTGTGCTCTTCCATTTCAAAAAAGAAAAAGAAAAAAAGTTGTGCTTGTCTAGCTCTTGCTCGTGCATCCTCCATTCTATGCTTCCTCTGCATTTGAGGTGGTTTTGATGATGGACTAGAGGATATCTGGAAGGCTTCTATATTACGGCACCAGTACTAGGAAATTGCATAAGTTTGTTGCAGCCTTGCACCCTGAGAGGCCTTTTGTTGATGATGGTAAAAACTATACAAGGCAAAATATGCTTAGGATGTGGGTATCAATCGGGAGACCTACCTACTGATTAAAGACACGAGGGAGATGACCTTCCTAACTGAAAATGAGGCCTTGAGAATCAAGATTTTTTCCCTTTGTGTGTGTGTGTCCAAAGAAATGTTGGCGTAGGCCCACTAGCGCATAGCTACATATGAGCCCAACGGCCCATATTCAATCTAGGCCAATCCAATGTTCATGATTGGATGTTGTATTTTAATTTTTTTACTATAAATTCAATTCATTTGATATTTTTAGTGTGTGTTATTTAAATATAGGAGAATCTAATAAAAATATCAAAAAAATAATTTGTAAAAAATAAATTTACCGAATTCCTATCGAAACTTTATAGGGGTATTTTGGTCTATTTATATTTTACGAATTATTTTTTTAATATTTTTATTAGGTGATCCTTGATGAGACGAATAGACGCTTAAAATTTAATGTGATTTAGACTTATAGAAAAAAATTAAAATTAAAATATGAAATGAGGTCGTGATCATTAGATCGGCTGTACTTGGGCCGTTGGGCTCATATATAGCTGTGAACTAATGGGC